GGGCTCGAACTCATGAAAGCAAGTCAGCAAACTAATTGGGAAACTGACTTTCTTTGCAAACCGGAACCACCAATTTCTTGGCAAGGTTTGGGTCAGGCTTCCGGAAAGAGCCTCATGGCATCCAGCTCCAGCCTTCCCGCTTCCTGGAGAAAGAGAATTAGCTCGCCCAGAAGAGGCTAGGAGAAGGCGGCGTGTCCGGAGGTCTGAGGGCTGCCGGTGGGATGCGTGGGGAAGCCCGGCACAGAGAGGCGGGCGCAAGCAGCCTAGCCAGCGAGGAGGCGTGAAGGGCAGCGGCAGCTCTCTTCGGAGCCCAGAGGATGGGGTGGCACGGTCAGGAGGCCTTTTCTGGCGGGAAGCGAGGCCTCTGAAGGCGCACTCTTTCTGTTAGATACCTGGCATGTCATCCTCGGGGGCGAGTGGCAGCTCCTGCGTGCCCCATGGAGGGCTGGTCGCTCTGGCGGAGATTGGCGGGGTGGGCCCACCTTGGGACCTGGGCAATACTCTTAAGCCTGTCTCTCTGTTCAGCTTCAGCGATTAAGAAAAGGTGGCAGAGCCAGCTCCCTCCTTATCTGTGGTTTGATTCTCTCGTTTTGGAAATGCGGGTGAAGGCTGTGTGAGGCGCCTGTGCCAGGCAAGGGGTTGGTGGGGGTGTTCCCACGGGAACGTGCCACTTTGGAGCCCCTTTGCACTCTTTGTCTCTGGGGGCATTGTCTGTTTGGGGGGTTCACTCTCGGCCTGGATGTGCCTTTTGCAAGGCAGTCCCAGGGATACCGACCAGGGGCAGGGTGGGCTTCCTGGCGTAGCTCAGAGGCCTCGGGCTGGGAGCGGGCAAGGCCAAGTCTGGGTGACAAGAGATGACCCCTTTTGGGGTGGAAGCGAAGAACAGCAATGCCTGGATTTCAGAGGTAACTTTTCTGTGCTGCTCCCCCTGCTGGAACTTGGATGAGAACCCCTATTCCCCCCCTTCTCCCCCCATATCCATCCAGTAACAGACAGGTCCTTCTCCGTGGCCGATGCTAAGTGCACTTGGGGCCACCGTTGGTGGCGGGAGTCTGCAAAAGGGTTTTTATAGCCTGGGCTCCCCCAGCCCTTCAGGAGGACTGTCCTCCGTTGCCCAAGAGAGGCAGCTTGATGGCTGCAGACCTTCGGGGAGTCGATGTGTGAAGCACGGAGGGGCCCTCCTGTGAACCGGCCCCTAACGTTGGCCCTGGCTTAGGGTCCAGGTTTTTCCCTAAGTCCACCCACTTCATGCACTGCCTTCAGCTGGGGAGGCTCTGCTCACGATCTCCCCGGGGCCAGTCTGGCTCCCCCTGCGGCGAGAGCAGGAGCGAGCGACAGCGCCCGGCCAGGAAACTCTCTCGGAGGGACGATGGGTTCCCCACAGCTGCCATTTTCAGAAAACAGCTGAAGGTTTGTGTGTTCGCCTAAGCACTTGTGGAACTGTTCCGCCCTGAGGTTCGAATGTCGTTTGTTCTTTAAAAAGAGCTTCCCCCCCAGTTTCTGAGCACTGTAAACTTCTCTGGGTGGAAAAGCGCATGGAAATAATAGTACTGGCGACAAGAGGACTGGGAGGCAGCCTTCGGGGGCGATGAAAGGTGCCGCCCAAGCCACTCTCGGCTTCCCCGCTTTTGCGCCCCAAATCCTTGTCTCAGTCTGAGAGACTTGCAGGTTCTCCCTGCCGCTTTGCTTTGCTTTGCTCTGCTTTGCCGCTGAAAGGCATGTGGACTTAGAATAGGGTGTTTCTTCAGCCTTGTCCTGGGTGGTGCATTTCCTCTCCTCTCCCCCCCCCAAGTATGCAAAAAGCGAAATATTGTGAAAACATCTAGAAAGCTTCCCCTTCTCTGAGTGGAGGCTCTTCCTCGGCTGCAGCCGCACTGGATAATGGTGGCAGATGTAAGCTGGGCTCAGTCTTAATACGAGCAATGCTGTGGCCTCCCAAGGCTGCATCTGCCCCCTTACAGAAATGTTCCTGTTCTTGCAAGCGATGCTCCTTCGAACATTCCTCAAGAGAAAAACAATTTGGACTGCATTCCGTGGGCTTTGCAGCTGAAAGGGTCACCGCCAGGGGGGCGAAGCCAAAAGCTGTCTGAGAAGGTCCTGCTGGGCCTTTTCTGGGTTCAAACTGCTCTGTGCTCCAGGTTAAGCCGCCTTTTTGAGTCATTTGCTTTGGTTCTTGGTGGACAGCCGTGAACCAGCCCACGGAGGAGAGTTTCCTCTAGAGACCTAAACGTTTCTCCTTCTGTTCTTCCACAGGATTCTTTAAGCCCTTAATCTATCCTGCCTTTAAATCCAAGGGTTGCGGGGGTGTGTGTGTGTGGAATGAAACTCTTCTGATCTTGCAAACACAGCTCCTTTCACCATAAGAGGATGACCAGCTCTGATTTATTTTTCCCAGAGCTTGGGTCACCGGCTGACTGCCGTTCCTTGGAGCTGGCTGGAGAAGGAGCATGAAGGTCTGGCAAAGGAGGGTTGGAAAGGTTTATGGGCTGGAATAATGGAAGGCTCACATCTGGTAGCCAGCTGTGGAACTCCTCTTCTGCTGAGGCAGCCTCATAGGAGGGGCTTTTTCCACCCACTCTGCGATCTGCACAGAAGAAACGGTGCTCCCTTCGCTTCCCCCACCCACTAGGCCCTCTGGCTGAGCTGGAGCCTCTGGTTCCTGGCAGCAGACGGGCCTGCGAGAGAGGCCGGGGAAGAGCCCCAGCTGAAGGAAGGTGTTGTTCTTCTCCCTACCAAGTGCCGGGTGCTTTGTGGGAGGGCTCCCTTTGGGTCGCCTGGAGGCAGCTGCATGGGAAGCTTTTGCCTCCAGTCCTCCCATGGACAGACCTGGAGCTGTGCTGGACAGGCCGGAGGCTAGGCGAGCAGGGTTGTATGGGCAGCCGCTGTGTAGCGGAGGAGCTAAGGAGCAGGTGATGTGGGGCCTGGTGCAGCCTACTCATAGCCAGGGAGGACCTAAGGTTTCCTCCCTTCTTCCGGCTCCCAGGAGAGCTGTGGGCTCCCAAAGGGCAGGCTAGGGCTGCCTTCGCCGGTCGTGCTGTTGCCGTCCGGCCTGGCTGGGGGTCATATCAGTCCCCACCGCACCCCTGGCACAGACCTCTGTATCCTTTTGGGCAGGAAGTGACCTCCCTGCTTAAGAGGGCACGGTGGCATCAAGGGCAGGGCGTGCCGCCTCTCCTGGCTGGCTTCCTCACTGGAGACACACTGGTCTTGCCTTTGCTCAGGGTCAGCAGCAGCTGTGGCTGGCAGGGTGCAGCTCCCGCTTCCATTTCCTATGTACTGGCACCCGGTTCCTAGGGGACCGAGTGATTTGGGTGGTCCAGGGAAAGGGCCTGGGCAGGAAGGGAAGAGAGGCCCTGGGGGGCTCCAGGGGAGTCTGCAGCCGCCAGAAAGCCCAAGGCGGGGGGAGGGGGAGGGTCTCAGCAAGGCCCCCACCCTGCCGCCCGGCCTGTTAGGGGTGCGCCTGCCGGCTGGGCACAAACAGGCCAATGTCCTGCTGCCTCTCCTGCAGCTGGCCTGAGTAGGACTGGAAAACAGCTGCAAACACACAGACCGCTCTTGCCTCGTGGATAACTTTTGGGGGGTCTTAATGCTGGGCCAGCCCTTTGGTGTTTCCAGACAGAAATGTGCTCCTTTGCTTTTTGCGCAAAGTGTGTTTGCTTGCCGGTGGAGCACAGAGGGCCCGCCATTGTGTCAGACCTCCTCTGGACCTGCCCGGGTGGAGGGTGGCTAGGCCCCTCGCAGGCTGTCCTGGCAGAGCTGCTCAGGAGAGTTGAGCTTTAAACACAGAGCTTAAAAAGTTGGGTTGGTGTTCTTGCCTTTTAGGGCTAAAACATCTTTGCACTTGGCACCGGGACCGTTTGGAACTGAGAATTGAAACCCCAGGGCTTCCTGAGCCTTCTTCTGGAGCCCTCCTGCTCTGGGGAGGCCCAGCAAGTGCTCAGGAGCAGCAGGGGGTGTCCCATTCTCTGCCACTTCCTGCCTGGGGGGCTCTGCTTGGGCAGGCAGGTGGGCTGGCCCTGGCCAGGGGTGCATCAGCCACGCCTGGCTGCCTCTGGCAGATTCGCAGCAGGGGAGCGGGACGTTTCGGGGAGCTCTCATGGTGCATGGGCAGACGTTATTTCTTGATGTAATTTGGGGGGCGGGGGGACAGGCTGTGGCTGCAAGCCTCCTTTCGGCAGCCTAGGAGACTTGGTTGAGTTGGATTATTAGAATTAGGAGGTGTGATTTTTCTGCTTTTGGAGGCAGAGTGGATGCAAAAAGTAGTTGAGTTCCAAGGTGGGCTTAGCATAGCGTTAAAGACAAATTAAAGCTTCCCCAAGATCCCAATCCTGCTGATTTTTGTATGTTTCCCACCTCCTGAAGTACGAGGCTCCTCCTGAACATCACTCCTCTGCCCACATAATCAATCTTCTTCTGGGAAGGGGCCTTTCCTGAGTGGCACAGCTTCTGTTGGCCCGCAGAAAATCCCCACTTGGTGCCCAGCAGCTTTAGGGTGCAGGCCTGGTGGGCCAAGGCGAGAGGAGAAGGGCACGACGTGCACCTTGGGGGGGTTCTTGCCTTCTGCCCCACCCAGCCCACATTGATGCAGATGGCAAGCTGATCTGAGGTATGCTGAGCTGGCGCTCTCGTGTCACAGGGATTTGCACAGGGAAATGGAGACGGCATTTCCCCTCGCCAGGCTTCAACCGGAGGTTGGCTGGGGCCAGATGCCCTTTGCTGCTCACCCCCCTGCCAGCTGCTTCCTCTCTGGATATAACTCTGGCTCATTCCTCTTTCGGAGACCCAAAGTGACTCTCTGGGACAGAGAGGTCTTTCTGGGAACAAGAGCCTAGCAGGAAAGTTATTTGTTTAGGTCATTAAGACACTTTATTTTCCTGTTAAAAAACAGAGATGGCTCATGTTTATTTAGAAGTTAATTCTGCACCGCTCTGGAACTGCAGTTTCCCAAGCTTATCTCCCTAAACACAGAGAGATTAGTGGGATTTTGAGAGTTTTCTTAAGGTTTTGTTTAGCACGTGGTGGAGTTTTATGTGGCTGGCAGGCATGTTTCTCCTTCACAAGCATGTACTTATGTTCTAAACGGCCTCTGTTTGCAAATAAAGTTTGACTCAAATTTCCATTCTCTTTTCGGCATTGGCGCTTTATCTTGCTTCTGATGAGGGGCTGATTTAGCCAAACAAGGAGGCGTAACAAGAGTGAGTTGCGTGGTGAGCCCAGATGGTGAACCGCTGGCAAGAACCAGACTGGAGGCCTCCAGGAGCAGCTTTGGCCCTTCCGTCGGGGCCTGCTTGCAGAAGGAAACCTCTGGAACGCTTGAAAGCGAAGGACCTGCGGGGCGGCCTGGGTTGGGCTCAGCATGGAGCCCCTGGCCTGCTCCTCTCCCCTGGCCTCGCTGCCCTCCAAAACCTGGAGGGGAGCTGCTGGAGCAACGCTTGGCCAGCGCCCTGTGTAAGGGGCCACCAGCAGCCACTGTCCCAGACACGGGTGGCCTTTCTCGTCTCAGACGGCTGGTGGTGGGGTTCTGGGGGAAGTCGCCTGAGCTGGTGAGAGCGGCATGATTGCCCTCCATCTGGGAAGGGAGGAAGCTCTTGAGCAGCAGGAAAACCCATCCTTAGCTTCGGAAAGGTCAGGGGGTGGGCAGTGGGGCAGCCTCGCTGGGCCAAGGGCCCTGGGGACCTGCACCTAGTTGGTGCTAATAGAGAATTGGTGGTTTCTGGGAAGCGGATGCTGGAAGCTTCATAGCCTGTGTGTGTGCATGCACTGGGAATGTCTCCACTGCCAGAGCCACTGTGTCTGGATGCTAAGACCAGCCGGGGCAAGGGTGGCGGTGCATCTCCCCCTGCCCTTGCCCGCAGAGAGGGGAAGGGCTCTGTTATGGGGAGCTTGCAGAGGACCCTTTCAGGCCCTGCTCTTGACCCGGGCGCGGCAGATTCTCAGCCCCTGGAAGAGTGATGGCAGTCCCTGCTCATCCGAAGCAGAGGGAAGTGGGGCTGGGGGGCCGAGAGAGCCCAAGTCTCCCCAGGAAGTTTCCCCCAGCTCCCCCTTGCTGCGAGCAAACGGAGAGCAGCTCCTCGCTGTCTTCTGTAGCCTGGTCTGGAAAGGGGGGGGGCAGAGGTGCCTCTTTGCCGGGGGCCGATTCCCCAGAAACCCTGTGCTGCTGCTGCTGTTGCTGGAGTTGTGCCCTGGGGGCCAGCAGAACTTCCCTGCAGCTTTTCCTGTCCTTGGTGGAGCCAAGATGTCTCCTGGGTGCCAGCTGCCTCCTCGCAGAGGGGGATTAGCAGTCTAGCTGGGTGGTAATCTTCTCTGCAGAGCAGCGGGGGCAAAGCTGATCCCTGAGTCAGCACCTTGGGGTGGAGCTGCTCTCCCTGCAAAGCAGGTAGGGCACTGCCCCAGAGCAAGAAGGGCTGGCCTTCCCCCCACCTCTTTGCTGCTGCTGCTGCTGCTGCTGCTGCTGCTGCTGCTGCTGCCGCCTGGCGGGGTGGGGCAGCGTTGAGGAGCCCAGAAACGGGGAGCAAAGCTGGTGGGGGATCCCTGCCTCCAGAGCAGCCCCCTTTGGCTGTCCCACTTTTCAGGGGAGAATCCAGAAGCCTTCCCCACCTCCCAGTTGGCTTTTGCGCTGAGCATCGTGACAAGGTCCCCATCCGGTGATCGGGGGGGGCAAAACGGCCCCTCGGTCTGCAGAATAGCTGCATGTGGAGAGTAAAGCGGGTGGCCCTGATGGAGGAGAGAGATCCGTTAAAGGGTCTAAATCTGCTCTAAAACAAGAAGGAACACATGAAGTCTCAGACAGACACCCCCCCCCCAAATTCCCAAGAGTATAAGAAAGGCAGGAGGCAAAGCATAGTGGGCCTTGCCAGAGTCCCTCTTAAGAAAAGGAGTTTTCGACTTCCCTCTGGCCCGTGCCGTGGGGCTGACATCACGCCCCTGTCTTCCCTGGGGTTGAGGCCCCAAATGTGAATCCGGGGGAGGGACAGAGCGGGTGGGTCCCAGATCCTGGTGCCCCGCGGGTGCTTTCTGCCTGACTGACAGTTGGGGTTCGTGGAGGCTCAGCCCATTGAGGGAAGCCCCCAGGGCGGTCTCCCCTCGAGGCCTCGAACGCCTGGTCACCACCGCTGGAAGCCCTCCACCTGCCCTCTCGGCTCTGTTCTCAGTGAAGTACATGCGGGAGGCCACTCCGTAC